GACTGGGTCCGATCCTAAAAAGCTGTTTTTATGAACTGTTTTTATTGGATAGAATGATTATGTTGAACAAACGAGGTTTGTGTGAATGGGAGATTGACTTGGAGTTTTTACGAGTTGATTCTAAATCCGAATAAAATCAGCACACGTTTCCGTAAATGAAAGGGTGAGCATAAGCAAATGAATCGAAGGAAACTGGTCAACTCAGAGATCACCTGTCATTGAGCATTCCGTAAAAGGAGGTCTCGGCAGCGGAAAAGCTAAATTTAGAAAAGAGATCCTGTCAGCTTTTCCATATTATTGCATTCCACCCAAAAATCAGCACACTTTTCGTAAATGAAAGAGTCAACACAAGCAAATGAATCAAAGGGAACTGGTCAACTCACCTGTCATTGAGTAATATTCCGCGAAAGGAGGTCACAGCAGCGCCGAAACGAAATAAGCCAGGCCAGGAGACAAAATATCCGAAAGTTTCAAACAGCTCATGCAAGAAGCAGTTCCAAAGAAGGAAGTTCCTCGTGCATGCACATCCGAAAAGGCAACAACAAAAAGTCTGCGATGCACACGCATGCAGCCAGCCGCGCGATGGTAGGAGCCATGGAGTAGCTCCCTGGCCTGGTCCAGGACCAGGTACCGAGCATCATACGTAGAAACTTACGTAGCTACGTAGACAACGTGTCTGAATAGCGGTGTCGTTAGGTAGCGCCATGTGAACACAATAATAGAAAAGCTGACAGGATCGCTTTTCTAAATGTATATTTTTATTTGAATTCGCAAGTACACACGGGCTACAAGCCCAATTACATGGAAGCGAATGCCATAATGAGGCCAATTAAAAAAGGTGGAGGAAGGAGGAGGACGGTAGCAAAGCAACAGGGAGGACAATTCAGGAGCAAAATCAACAATTGCACAAATGTGAGAGCACCTGAGACCGAGGGTACCTGTGGAGCGATAAAATGCCAAGAAAACAGAAGAAAGGATATCACAAGCCAATACACGCTAAACTGCGCTTGAGTTATAATGAAGGGGAAAACCGGAGCTCAAGAAAATCATAACATACAAAGTCATAATAAGAAGTCAACTGGATGAGAAGTAGCACAAGCAAACAGTTCCTGACAACGAGAGGGGCTGTAACTACAGCCACAGCAGTAGCTGCTGTAGCAGCAGCAGCAGCAGCAGCAACAACAACAGCAGCAGCAGCAACAGCAGCAACAGCCGCGTGAGCAACAGCCGCGTGAGCAACAGCAGCAACAGCCGCGTGAGCAACAGCAGCAACAGCAGCAACAGCAGCAACAGCAGCAACAGCAGCAACAGCATCAACAGCAGCAGCAGCAACAACAACAGCAGCAGCAGCAGCAGCAGCGCCGTGCAGACTACTCCAAGGGGAGTATGGGACTGTGAACACAGAAGGCGGGAGAATTCACGGAGTTTGCAGATCTAGCCCGTCACCCAGTTTCGGTGGAAGTGCGCGAGTTCGATTGAGATTGAAGTAGGAAGGGAGCGTCTCAGCTTCCTCGGACCAAGACCATTCGACTCAGCACCCCGAAGATTACAACTGGTGAAATTTTGATTTTAGACTTAACTTCCCCTTTAATGATTATGGACATACATTGGTGTAGTAGTAGATGAGTGCGGAAGGGTGACAAATCAAACTTGGGTCTTAGATATAATTATGACAGAGAGAGAACAAAAGAAGAAAGGTAGAAAATGAGTGAGAGAAAAGAGAGAGAGAGAGAGAGAGAGAGAGAGAGAGAGAGAGAGAGAGAGAGAGAGAGAGAGAGAGAGAGAGAGAGAGAGAGGAGGGAGGGAGGGAGGGAGGGAGGGAGGGAGGGAGGGAGGTAGGGAGGGAGGGAGTGGTGCTTTCTTTCAGGTTTACCGAGCGGAAGGTGCGACGTGCTCTTCGTGTGCTCCGGATGGCAGTTGTGAGTCAGTCAAGTGTCAAGTTCGGCAAGAAGCGTGTGCTCCTCGTTGGAGGAACCAACTTCAAGGTTTATCTAACAAGGTTTATCTAACACGAACTAGTAATGGGTTATATAATGTCTACAATTATGCAGAATAAAGCGTCATTTACGTATTTACATCGCAAAGTATCAGTTCGACTGCACTGGCATCCCTTTGATGTGCAATCATTGATTTACATGTACATGTACACTGCTTGTTCTTTCACTGTATCTTTTGTACAACATCTCTCTTTTTCCGAACTTTTTTGCACATTTTCTCTTTTCCCAACTCCAATGTTCATTGTATATACACAAATAGGAGATCCTCCCGATAAAGCGTTAGCCTTTGGGTAATCCTGAAACGAGAGAGCTTGGAAGCTCAGGGCCCTACGCTATGCTTTTTTGCCTTGATGACCTAGACAAAAAAAGCATAGGGATGTTATAATTTTTTCTTCAGAATTCCCAAATTCCATTGCAGCGTATTCCTTGCACTCGAAAACACCGCCATTCCGGCAACAGGCTCTCAGCTGCACCAAATAAATAACTTTGCCAATATTTCGCCCATTGGGCATCATCAGGGCATTGAGGAAGGGGAGGCCAAATTACGAAATATAAAGACGAATAATGCAGGCAGATGAATGTTCTAGAACTAACACATCATGGTGACACAATTGGCAAGGCCAGCAAACTAAACAATCATCACTTGTAAGGTGACCTAAACAAAACGAAAGATGAGAAAACTCACACATACACACAGACACAATTTGGCAAGAAAACTAACACTAACACTAACACTAAAGTTTACAATCATCACCTGTAAGGTGACCTATACAGAAGAAAGAAGACTAGTAAGACTATCACAGCACGTACAAGAACACTTTCAAGTGTGGGAATGCTAAAGGCGATTTATGTATATGACAGCGGTGTATGTGCAAAGTATGTGTATGTGCTGTGTCAGGTGGTAAAGTCCAGTGGTAGTTCGAGGAGATGGGTGTCGATTCCAGTGACGATCCGGTGACATCCAATCAGTCAATTAGGCGCCAGCCGTCATCGCAATTGACTGCTGGTTTGCGCTTCCTTACCGAGAGGCAAGGGCGATGGTGGCGAAGGCTCCCTGGGGCTTCCACTATCGTACCCAGCATCGAGAATCTTTAAAGTCTTCCAACTTTCTGCCCTTCCACCAGGCAAAGATTCTCGGCAGGGAGGCTTCGCTACCATCAAGGAAACTGCTTGAAGCTATCGAGATAAGGAAGCGCAAACCAGCAGTCATGTACAATGTCCGGTACAGAAATCGCAGGACGTACTTGTACAATGTCATGTACACGTACATGCACGTCCTGCGATTTCTGTACCTGACATTGTACATGCCCATGCAGGGGCGTAGGCAAGGGGGGTGCTTTGGGTGCCAAAGCACCCCCCCTCAAAAATTTCGATCTTGGTTCACAGCTGGTTCGAGAGAGACCATAGCACTCAGCAGACCCGCTGATCACATGCGCAAATCTGCACATCGCACACTGTAGCCATCCCTGTTTTAGACCAGGGAGTAGTAGGTACTACTCCCGGTCCCTGGTTCAGACCTGCAAGTACAATGTATCTGAAACCAATCCACATGCAGTTGACTATTAATTTTTGTCTCATGATTGGTCATTTTGCAATGAAATTTCTAGTCAAGGAAACTCCGCTTCGTACCTGCCGTTGTGCAGTGTCACATCAGGCCTCAGCAGGCTCAGCGCATGATTTGTATGGCACTCCACATGTTTTGTAAGAAGCAAAGAATCATACAAACACGCCATTGGTAGAAGCAAGGAAGTAGCAACGCGGTCTATGGCCGGAAAGCACACGTCAGACATAGCAGTTTGTTCTCGCTATGTTTTGTATAATGTAGTTCTCGATGTTAATCATGGTCTCGTTGTGGAAAGGCAAAGTTTCTTTCATGCATTGCAAGTGTGGATACAGCAGTAGAAGAGTGAAAGTAACGTTGAAGTGCACTTTGAGTTTTGTTTGAAATAGTGTAGGTTTGATCAAGGATGTGTTACTGCACTATCAAACATGAAGGGGAAAAATAGCTCGAGAAATCCCACTTTAAAAGTTCGATGGAGAGTGAAAATTCTGGAGAAAGCAGCATCCAGGACTTAGTCCATCATTAGTTGGAACTTGGAAGCAGGCCAGGGTGTAGTAAATTACCATAATCATTACTACTCCCTGGTTGGAGATTTGCCATTCACTGATTGATCTTCAGCGTCGAATTAGGGGCGAATTTTGGTTCCCCCCCCCCCTTTCACGGATCGAATAATGTGCATGAAAGGACCAACATAAGTGCATGATTGTACTTTTGTGTGGGGAAAGTCGTGACACCCCCCCCCCCCCCCCCTTGATCACTATCCTGGCTACGCCCCTGCCATGTGGTCCATGTACATTATAGTAACGCTGTGTTGAGTCTTTTTACAGCCGGCTAGCTGGTCATGATTCTAAAACTAAGTTACTTTGTATTTCTTCTCTACAGATACATGTAGCACTCTTGATCTACATCTACATAATAATTATTATTATTGTACACGTCATGTACATGTACATGTAAGTAAATTAGTTACCCGGGATGCTGCATAATCAAGACACGAAACCAGTAAAAGCACCCTAAAAAGGCTGGTCCCGGCCCGGACCCATCTTCCTTGAGTCACTGTACTGTAGCTGAGTCTGAGAAGGGTTGACCATGTTGACCCGACCTATCATTCTGTCCACAACGTCAAGCCAGCTTTCACCGTACATACAGTGTATGATTATCATATACAGTGACCCGGAGTCGCCACCTCTACCATGCGTGCAGCCCAGTCCTACACTAGCCGCGGCTAGGCTACAGACAGTGCACTACTGATACTTGCCACTCGTAGATCTGTTACTGGTACATGTACTGTGTTAGTATGCAGTGCCAGGGGGCCGGCTAGCTAGTACAAGCTGCATGTGTCTTGAAATGAGGGGATTTTTTCTTTCTGGTTTGCTTGCATGGTAAAAACCTCGTTGCCCAACTACTGATTATTAATTTTGGCTTGACGTTCAATTTTGTATAATTATTGGGCTTGCATGGCTCCTCTAGTTGATGTCGCATAGGCTATAGTATACATATGTACTCGCTGTAGCTCTCATCAAGAGGATCTTGAAGGCATCTGCAGTACCTCACCGAATCATACCACCAGTTGATCTACTAGTATCTTGATATTGCTGATAGCTATGGCCGAAAACTCGGCCACAAACGGTACGTAAAATTTCATTTCCTGTCCAGAAGATCCATCTTTGCATTGACTATTGTTACAGTATGTAGATCCACTACTAGTACTTACTACTACTAGTAATGTCGTGTTCAGATGGCATGGCGCTGGGGGTGAGTGAGGCTCTGCGATCAAGTCATTGGCGCACGTGTGCGCGCCGCGCCGCTCGCTCTCAATTTCAAATCATGATAGCGTCGGCGATTGCACCTACGCTGTGCCTGCGCTCGCGCTGTTGCGACGAGCATAAGGGCTACATGCACAGTGATTGTAGAATTTGAAAAATTATAACGTGCCACAGCCACTAGTGCACTGCCCAGCTAACACATATCTCTTACAGTGAAATGTTTCAATTTTTTATTCTAGAAAATTGTCGCTGTCCTCACCAGCTGCTTGAGCTACAGTCCATTCATTGGAAACTGGCACCCTAACTTGTTGGTGTCTCCCACACATACATGTAGTTGTAGATATCGTGAAAACAACAGTACATCGTGCATTGTGTGACCCGTGCAATTACTCCTTGCCAAATTTGAGGCCAGGCAAGTCCAAGAACAGGGAAATAGAAATTCAGCCAGGTTTTACAAAATTAGGACAGTTATGCCATGGCAAAATATATGGAGAAGCAGGTCCAAAACCCAGATTTTTGAGATTTTAAGTGGGCTTTTGATTCTCAGTTCGGCCCAAATCGGACTTTCAAAAGCCAGTGGGACTGTTTCCGATGAATGGACTGTAGACTACCAAACAAGTATAAAGAGCAAAGCCCGACAAGATGCTATCACCACCAGTTGATGAATGAAGCACAGCGTGAATGCGCTCGGCAGAAACATTTTTTTGTTCCGTCATGTGCCAAAAATTTACGAAACCCCAAAGACATGTTTTAGCTGACCCCGGCCCAAATTGTTGTGCTGCGCTGCGTGCAGTCCTGCATATTTCTGCAGTCAACTTCGCTAATAACGACTGCGGATATAACGACAGAATTTCCATGCCCGGAGCAAAGTCCCATCTAAATGAAATACATACAGTAGAGTCGCGCGCTGAAGAACGTCCAGCCTGAAATTCTAAGAACGCCACAGCCTAAAGTTAAGAACGGTGGTGTTGGTTTTCTGGCAGCTTATGGGATACACATGATCCAGGACGGATTGTTTCTAAGCACGCAGTCAGATTGCTGACGAAATAAGAACGTCCCAGGCTAACCCCTAGGAAACAACGTTCTTGGGTGCGCGACAGTGTAATAGGTGTATGTATGCTACGACCTGAATACTCACTATTTGTATTTCCCGCTCGTTCCCCTTGGCAATGAGCACTCACATAGAAGAGCGCATGCTCCAGTTCTGTTGTAGTCTAGTCTTGAGTTGTCGTTGTCCTGTTCTCCTTGTCTACACTCTTCTCGAATACTTCTATAAATTATCCAATCATATAAAACCCCTGTGTTCCGGTGTGAGGGGGCATCATTAGCCGGGAGCAGCTAACACTGGTGGCAGCGGTGGGATTCGAACCCACGCCTCCGGAGAGACTGGATAGGTGTATGTATGCTACGACCTGAATACTCACTATTTGTATTTCCCGCTCGAATAGGTGTATGTATGCTACGACCTGAATACTCACTATTTGTATTTCCCGCTCGTTCCCCTTGGCAATGAGCACTCACATAGAAGAGCGCATGCTCCAGTTCTGTTGTAGTCTAGTCTTGAGTTGTCGTTGTCCTGTTCTCCTTGTCTACACTCTTCTCGAATACTTCTATAAATTATCCAATCATATAAAACCCCTGTGTTCCGGTGTGAGGGGGCATCATTAGCCGGGAGCAGCTAACACTGGTGGCAGCGGTGGGATTCGAACCCACGCCTCCGGAGAGACTGGATAGGTGTATGTATGCTACGACCTGAATACTCACTATTTGTATTTCCCGCTCGAATAGGTGTATGTATGCTACGACCTGAATACTCACTATTTGTATTTCCCGCTCGTTCCCCTTGGCAATGAGCACTCACATAGAAGAGCGCATGCTCCAGTTCTGTTGTAGTCTAGTCTTGAGTTGTCGTTGTCCTGTTCTCCTTGTCTACACTCTTCTCGAATACTTCTATAAATTATCCAATCATATAAAACCCCTGTGTTCCGGTGTGAGGGGGCATCATTAGCCGGGAGCAGCTAACACTGGTGGCAGCGGTGGGATTCGAACCCACGCCTCCGGAGAGACTGGATAGGTGTATGTATGCTACGACCTGAATACTCACTATTTGTATTTCCCGCTCGAATAGGTGTATGTATGCTACGACCTGAATACTCACTATTTGTATTTCCCGCTCGTTCCCCTTGGCAATGAGCACTCACATAGAAGAGCGCATGCTCCAGTTCTGTTGTAGTCTAGTCTTGAGTTGTCGTTGTCCTGTTCTCCTTGTCTACACTCTTCTCGAATACTTCTATAAATTATCCAATCATATAAAACCCCTGTGTTCCGGTGTGAGGGGGCATCATTAGCCGGGAGCAGCTAACAACTGTACTGTGTAAGGAGACTTTGGGTATAAGGACACTTCGCGAATAACGACACTTTTCTGTTGCCCCGCCGAGTGTCGTTATAAGCGAACTTGAGTGTATTCCATCTGTGGTCCTCACGCCGGCACCATCAGTACATCACAAGCAACACCTGAATAGCAGGGGGTAGCTCAGTGGTAAAGACTTGCAATTTTTTTGATTGATAATCAGAACAATAATTACGCTTCAGCCCTGCTTTTCCTAGTGAGCAGATACAAACTGCAACCTGGCTGATGCAATGCATCAATGTTTTCCTTTTAGTCGTCCGAAATCTCTTTCCTCAGGGTGTACGTTTGCAAACTCCTCTGTAGACACTTGACCTCTCACACAACCTCACACCCGTACCTGCGAACCACCCCGGCCTGGTCAGGACCGGCCCCGATATCAAAGAGCTGTTGCACAAGAAGGATCCGCGAGTGGGATTCGAACCCAGCACCCCTGTCTTTCCGGTACAGTGCCCTACCGAGTAGGCTACCGGGGATCACACACACTCTCTTGCTACACTGCTCCCCCGCCCAAACCGGCTGTGTCCTCACATTGTACCTACTCGCGCGGGGGGGGGGGGGGGGGGAGCTATGATGAGTCATGGGTTGGAACTATTGCCAGGCGCTAATGTTGTAAAAGAAGGATCCACGAGCGGGATTCGAACCAAGCACCCCTGTGTTTCCTGGACAGTGCCCTACCGATTAGGCTCCCGGTACCAAGGGGTGGTACTTCCAGTCGAATTAACCTGGATAAGGAGACCACCTGTGTGCGGAGACCACATTTGTAAGATCCCTTGAGCGGTTGGCGTGGACAGGCTCTACTGTAGCTACGCAGCGCTTCTTTGACTGCAGACACTGTGTTACTCTTACATGGCAGCCGACGTGTCCATGTCAGAGTATCGCACGCTTTCCACTGCACTACAGAGCATACGGGGACCTGCGCGTTACGTCCAAGTACGATAGAGTACCGGGTTTACCGGGTGTTAGCGGCCGTCGTGAGTTCCCTTCGGGAACGGACACGATAATTTACTTCTTTTTTTTACAATAGAGTATGTTCTGCATCCCTAGTAACCCTTCTTTTTTTGCGTTCTTAAATCTTATGGTGCCATGGTCAATACTGTAGAAAGGGTAATTTTAGCGACGTAAAAACCCTAGCAAATTTAGCGATCTACTCATTTTCGCTGAAGTTTCAAGTCGCTAACCCGTTGAGACATTAGTAGTGCACTGGTGATCCGTGAGTAAAATCGCTGCAAATCGCTAAAATAAAACGTCGCTAACCGGTTGACAATGGGAAAACGCTAAAATTAATAGTGGCTAAAATTACCCGTTCTACAGCATTCAGGACGATTTGGGGACAAAATCGGACATTTTTGGCCGTCGGGCGGGATGCTAGGCTAAGTGTGTAGCAAGAAGGACATACGGGTGTGGTCCTAGTTGTAGTGGACCTCTGAGACAGGTGGTGGCTGCCTTGACAGGTGGTGGCCGCCTTGACAGGTGGTGGCCGCCTTGACAGGTGGTGGCCGCCTTGACAGGCTCTACTTTAGCTTGCACTCTTCCTTTGCCAGTGTGTGGACCTGCAGTTTCAGCGTGGGATTATGAAGCACGACTGGCCTTGCTAAACGTCCCAGTACAGATCTTCTATGAGACAGCGATATATATTTTCGGCACGGCGTGAATACTAGTACATATGTACATCAACAAAGCCGATGTGAAAAATGTCGTCAGCACTTTAATTTCGCCGTTTTGGATCTGTGCCGAATATACCAGTGTATCTTGAAAATCAGGCTTCCATTCAAAACAGGTTTCTATATGAGAAAGGTTTTAATACAAGACACTAAGGTAGCCGGAATTTGGTATTTGCCGAAAATTTGCATATTTACAGTATGCTGATTAGTTGTTGCACCATGAAACTCTGAGTCACAACAAACAAACTCTTACTTTCCTTGGTGTACTTCTATTACTCACCCTCTTTTCAAAATATTTTGTTTCTTTTGTTCTCTCTCTCTGTCTCTCTCTCTGTCTCTCTCTTTCTCTCTCTCTCTCTCTCTCTCTCTCTCTCTCTCTCTCTCTCTCTCTCTCTCTCTCTCTCTCTCTCACTCACTCTCTCTCTCTCTCTCTCTCTCTCTCTCTCTCACTCACTCTCTCTCTCTCTCTCTCTCTCTCTCTCTCTCTCTCTCTCTCTCTCTCTCGTTGCTGTGAACACCTTGAGTGGAGAGCGCTTGCTCGAGCGTTGAACCGGGTTCTTAATCCACCATACCCAGCTCGCAAGGCTGGGTGGGGTTGTGAGCAG